TGTCAGTCGTAAGTATGCGCGCGCGCGCGTGCGTACGAGCGCGTGCCCTTATGTCGAATGACGACCGGGAGCAGAGGTGTTTTTATCGATGCGATCGATGTTTTGTAATTTTAGACGCGACGGACCGATGCTTTTCTTTATAAACCTTAAGCTACAAGCAAACGCTTTTGTATTTGTTTTCCGTCGACGATTGTACTATCAGATTTAAAGAAAATACTTGTAATTGTATTACTTTGATATACCCATGCACGTATGTAACAATTAATACGATAAAAAGTATCTTCCATAAACAAATAATTTTGCGTGCGATTATACGTGTGTGCGCGTGTGCGCCCGCGCGCACGCGTACGTGCATACATATTTCTTCAATAAATTTTTTTTTCTTTTCCTTCAAAAACCGCACAATGTGGAATATGAATTTTTATATAAGCTCGAATGTCGAAATAAATGAAAAATTGATTGGTTCTACGAATGGCAAAGATAATGGCCTGAATATTTTATTGCCATATTTAATAATATTGAATAGATGTCTAACATTAAGACTGTCTCTGCTAATGGTATTGGATTTTTAATCGATAGACAAAAGAAACATATTATAAAATATTCAAAAATAATAATCTATAATAATAATATAAATACACTTTTGAGGCTGTCCTTAATTCATGGTTACCGTTTTATCTCTATATCATTTATATTCCAATATGTCAGTTGCTTAAAACAATTTCACTAAAGCAAAATGTTTTGTGAAAACAATGTAAAAAAGACATCGGTAAATCGAATAATAATATATTTATTTTGGACTTGATCGAGCGTTGTAATTGAAACAATAACTATCTGAATAATCATTTTCCAAGCGAGCGAACTTGTAAATTGAATATTAAATATAAGTGTAAAAATAAATAGAGCTTGGAAAGCAAGCGCAATAGTGTGATTGTATTAATCCAAGATAAATATTATGTACACGAAAGTAAAGGTATTTTTAAAAATATTTCAAATATTTGTAATGCCGTTATCGCCGAAGTAAAAAGCAATGGAAAAAATTTCTTATAATAAGGCGTTTGAAGTCTCGGCTCGCTCATTGATAATCGACTAACGTCTCCATTCTGGCTAACGCACGGGGTACGTAACATGACCTCGTATAATTTACCAATGAAGTAAATCAATCCCGCGAGGACGCGCTCTCCCTTTTTCTGTCTATCATTGACGAATCGCTCGAGCTACGCATAAAAGGAAAAACGATCGGTCGTGTCACAATTTACGAGAGCAATGACTCTCCAAACTGACTATGCCAAATCGCCACCACACATGTCTCTTATTTTGTCTCCTCGTCTCTCTCACCCTCTCACTCTCTACCGCCGACCCTCTTTATCTCACCTCCGACCCCCACCCCTTCCCCATTGTTTTTGAGGCGCTTCACCCGCGCATTACAGCTACTCGAGTTGCGGCGATCACGTACCTCATCTCTCTTTCCTTCTTTCTTCTTCTTCTTGGAAGACCGTTTTCGTTCGGTGTCGCAATATTTATAGAAACCAATACGTTATCCAATGACTCAAGGGCCTAGGCCATCCACTCGGCCGTAGTTTCAATCTTTTCCCCCAGATTTCACTCGGTAGAAACGCCCGAGCACTACCGCGCATTTATTTCGTCAATCGTCCACTTTTCCAGACCTTCGATCGCCGCATAATTATTGCGCTTCATATGTTTTATCGCCATTCTCGCGCTATAAATATGTATAGATGTTAATTGAGATTCGCCAAGCACATATCGCGAGGAAGATTTAGTAAGACAGGATCCTCGTGCTGATAAATCAAAATACCCTATTCGAATTTCAACGTGCGCGACGTCACCGAGCGAGGCGATACAAGGGAACGAGGAATAATCGTGAAACTATGCGCCGCAGAACGTGCGCGAGAATGTGTTTGCTCTCGCGTTTGTGTTCGTTTGTGGGCGCTCGCGTGTGGGTGACATTGGCACGGGCGTAATGCAAGCTATGTTACTTATTTAGCGTAAGCTCTTACCCCGCTACCGGACTACTTTGCCCGTTATTAACCGAGCTTATTTTATTTCAAACAGGTAGTCGACCAATATCACGCCAAGCCATACGCACGTGGTAATTAGCGCTTAATATTTGTCGTTCGCACGCAGCCTCGCGCGAACTCCGACATACCATCACGAGATTTCCAGCCGTCTGTTGTTATCCATTACATGGACGTATCGAGGCACCGCTGCAATTTCACACTAAGCTCGCGAATTTTTTTTTTCCATCCCTAGCCAAGCGTGAGTTTCGTCACCGAGAAAAACAGGCACGGCCGCTCGTGCCAAAGGATGAACCGAGTTCGCTGGCTGGCAATGTGGGGCCTCGGGGAGATTTGATGGAGGAGAGATTGGGAGAGAAGGTGGAGGCGCGCCGGCCAGACACTTTACCAAGAGTCATGTAAGAGCGAACGATGAAGTAATGGCGAAGAATGAAGGAGATACCGAGGCGCGACAATTGTTGCCACTAGACGCCGGCCACTTGGCCGCAAGTCGGTCGACACTCGGCTTCGCGCGTGCCACCCCAATATTGTTCGAACGATCCTCGGAGCGAAGCTAAGTACCGCGAACACGGGGTGACCGAGAAACTTCGAGGCCGGTATCTCACCCTCCGGCGTCGGGCGATCAACTCCCGCGGAAACGCTCGACTGACCGAGAATCCGACCGACCACTAATTACCAAAGTATCCGACCTATCCACGCTACGGATCACCTGCCATGTCCATGTGATATCGCGTACGCTCGGCTCAAGCGAGTCCCCAACTAATTTAATCAGCCGTTTTTTTTTTGTTTTTTGTTTTTTTTTGTGGCTTTAGTCGGCAGCATTGGCGCTCGATATTGCGCTCGTCAATGCGAATCAATCATTCTATTGAGGACGATTGTGGTATATTTAATTGCATTGTCTCGGCCTCGTTCGCCTCCTCAATACGAGCGTAAAAGGACTCGGAGCAAGAGGTGACAGGCGAAAGCCGAGCGAGCTCGTGATAAAAATGACTTGCCCCAACTCGTCCTCGCACGAATATCTTGTGGTGGACGAAATCGTACTCAACGATATTCCAATTAATTATGTTGGATAAGCGATATCCAACCGCGCTCGTTATTATTACAGACTATCAATTTTACGTTACCCTAGTCAAGTTTTATCAACCTTCGCCATTGATAATGCACTCGACTTCTCCTTTTTCTCTTCCTTTCTTTTATTTTCCGCTCCCTTTTCATCGCAACATTCAGCGCCAATGCACGGAAATAGACGACGTCGCAAATGACCAATAAGTTCATGAATTTCATACAAATTTAATGGACTCGTTTTTAACTCATCGACTCCCCGCGCGCGCGCACCTCCTTTTTTATCCAATAATTCAGCGGCCATTACAAAACATCCAATTATGACGCGCTGGCTATCTATTATTATTTTACTCTTGCAAAATGTCTTTAATTTTAAAATCGATTAACGTGCCCAAGATGGCTTTAATTATTAAAACTGAAAAGTGGCAATTAGCTATCAAAACGTCAATCATAAAATAAAATGGTAATTGATAATTCTTAAGCGCGTCAATTACAAGAATCGAACATGCCTCCAGTAAGCTCACTTGCTTGTGCCAATTATTCAAATGATCTCAAATAAAGGGATTTATTTGTGAAATCGAGTTATCAAGGCGGTTAAGAATTAAGTGTACTTCGATTTGATTTGTCACTTCATTTCTTACTGCAGAAACAACTAATCTCATTGAATCTTTATCGAATTGCAACTCTCTCGCTCAAGCTCACAAGATCTCACCGATAAGTTAATAGCATTTGCAAATAAACGATTAATACGAAGTGCAGATTAGAGTACAGAGATAGAGAGAGATAGAGAGAGATAGAGAGAGAATGAGAGAGAAAGAGAGCAGAACAGCAGAGAACAGAGATGACGCGACATCGGCTGATTAAAATCAGATTGCGAATGTGACGTTCAAACACAAGAAAGCGCATCGCCCCATTAGCGTTGACATCGGCAAGAAAAATATGAGACAAACGCTATTATTCCCAGCTCGTTGCAAAATTTTAATTATTCATTCGCAAATCCTTCCCCCAATTCTCGTTCATGTAGACAACGCTAGGTCAACCCTTATCAAGTATTCGCGAGCTACGTTGTGCTCGGACCGTGCGATCAAGCACCAACATCCATTAAACCATCACGGGCTGTCAATTAAGCGCGTGAGCTTATGCACGCGTTAACGCGTAATAGATGTCGATCTCCCTAAGAATCGTCGACACATCCAAGAACAGACTTTTGTATTATTGTCTCGACATGGTGAGCTTGCGTGGCGATAAATCGACCACTTAATATTTAACGTTCAATTTTTTTTTAGGATCCCGCTAGTCGCCCAACTATAACGAGCGCCGCTATTTTATTATAACAGCCGGGTTGCGGGACTCTGCCTTTTTTCCCCGATTCACTCGCGCTTTTTCCAAAGTTCATCGACTCGCACGGGATTCCCCGTTTGTTACACTTGTGCCGCTCTGGTGTGCGAATATCCGTGTGCCTCGATCGTATTTAACCGGGCAGTTATTCTAACGTGCGGACGTCCGTCAGATATCGAGTGAGGAATTTTGCATGGGACGAGCACTTTCCGTGTAGCTGATAACGATTAATCACCAATTGTTACGTTCGAATTAAGAGAGTGGGAGCGCGAGAGAATCTCAGTATCCTCCCTTTAAATCGACACTCGCTCACTCGCTCTCACAGTCTTTCACTCTCTTTCACTCTCTTTCACTCTCCCTCTCTCTCTCTCTCTCTCTCTCTCTCTCTCTCTCACTTTCTCGATTCTTCATCAGCCGTGAAAGTTTTGTCGGGGCCGGGCATCGTAATCCTTTCCACGGCCGTTAATGCCGCGCATTAGCCTAATACTCGGCGTTATCTCGCGACCGCGCGCTCCCCAGGTACAATCTCGGCTTAATATGTTAGGGCGATCGGAAGCGACTTACCTGTTGCCAGAAATGCGCGAGCAGGTAGATGCGCTCGTTCTTGAAGAGCCGCTCCATCGACTGCATTGTCTGAAGATCGAGGGAGCTGGCCTCGGCGGAGGCCTGCATGCTGGCCAGGGTGGCCGCCGGGTCCAGTGAGGTGAGAAGAGCGGCCGGCTGCTGGAGGGCCGCTTGCACGTTACCGCTGGTCCCGGCTAGCAAGTTCGCGTGATAAATGGTCGCGCTCGCATGATCCTCCTGGGGGACTGCACCGGCTGCCGCTGATGCCTGGAGTAACTGGGCCCCGATCGGCGCAGCAGGCCCCTGGAGCCCCAGTGACGAAGCCACTTTGGCGGCTTCGTGCTTACTCGACGTGCCCGAAACCACTCCGCCGGTCACCCCCGTCTTCCTCTTGGTGGCTCCTCGGCCCGCGGAATCGCGATCACCGGATCGCGCCTCCAGAGTCTCTCAGTGGCCGAGTTGGCGCGCGCGCGCGCTTCCTTTCTTCCTCCGCCGGCGTTTATTAACTCGTAGGGCGAGTTCGGCCTTCAATCAGCCCGGCTGTGCCCGTAAGTGTTTCTCGCCCTGGTCGGCTATCTACGAACTCTCCTCGCTCGCCTGCAGCACAATCACCAACGGGTACCGGTATCGCGAACGTACCCGGAAACGTGGCATCGCCGCGGCTCATCCACAACAGAGCCTTCCCCTCTATCCTTCTCAACTTATCTCCTCTTTCTGCCTTCCTCGATTTCTTTAAATTATACTTCTTTATCCCTTTTACGCTCTCTCTCTCTCTCTCTCGCTCTCTTTATTTTTCTTTTTTCTCGTTTTTCTTCTCTTTTTACAAAACGCCTTCGATCGGTCGAATCACTGAAGCTCGATCACTCGCGAAAAAAACACTTGCTTTCTCACTTCCAGGTACATCGATTGACACTTAGGCTATACGGAGTTTGATCGGGGTCGCGGCAACCGCATCAGCGCTCAGTAGCGATCATCGGTTTCAAAATGTTCACTGACGCATCACCACCAGTCTCGTTCTATTCACTACTACTACTACTACTGCTGCAGTTGCTGTTGCTGCTGCTACTGCTACTCTTGACATTATTCGGATATGCGACAGTCGCTCTGTGACTACTGCCCGACACTTTTCTCCTTCTCACGAAACACGACCGGACGATCCTGCATTTCCGCGCAAGCGATCCGCCGTGTCGTCGGGAGCAGGCTGTCCTTCGTCCTGGCTTGTAGAGGCTGCGACAGGCACGAGGAAGCGATCGACGCTGCTGCACATCCGCTCACGGGCTGCGAGTCAAGTCTCCTCGCAGGTGCTTCCAAGAGAGAAGAGACCCGTCCTAGCAGGCTCCTAACCTGAAACTAAGAGCTACCGGAGGACTGATGCATTGGCTGGAGGAGGGCGAAGCCCCCGTTGGTGGGGATGGGAGGTGCTTGTATAGACGTAGTGGGGGTAAGCCAGCCCCTCGATTCGCCAATCGGGGCCGGTGTATCCCCACTCCGCTGCCGACCAATACGCCCGGTAGAGAGCCGTCGGGGCAGATGGTGGGGGGGGCAGCGCCCGCGGATAATGGTGGGGAGGAAATACACGGGAAAGAAACGGAGGCTGGCTAGGTGGTACCTAACTGAGGATCTCGTATTTTCAACTCCCCGAGCATCGCCTCCCGCCCTTTTCCAACCCCATCCTGCCAATCGCTAGTTTTTCCCGAAGCCCGTTACGACTTGCGACGCGCGCCTAAGCGAATCGGTCGCCCTTCGACGGGATAACTTATGTCGCGGCCTCGCTCTCTCTCTCTCTCTCTCTCTCTCTGTGTACCCCTGTCTATCTTTATCTAGACTTGCTTTCGCCACTGTGCTCGTGTTTCGTGTATCTACGATGCATGCCGAGCTAGAAAGAGCAAGGGAGAAGGAAAACATTTTTTTTCTCTTCTCCTTTGTACCCCTACTTCGTGCAACGACTGGCGGGGGCTTTTTTCTTATGCCGGAGCTGCTGCGGAATCTCTGGATGGGCGCTCGCGAGGAAATTCTCGGACCAACATGCAGAGACTTTTCGACCAATAACAACATTGACTCGCTTCGGTTGCAAAAAAGTGACGTTTTCTCCTTCTTACTATTGATTTTTCGTTGATAATACGAGATACCTTCGCTCGACTATAATACGACCACTCGCGAAACACTTATTTTTCACCATCATCATAGTTATTATATTATTCATT